AGCTTAGGTCATTTAAGGACGTGCCTCCATGTGTGTTGTGTATGGGTAAATGTGTTTGTATACTGAATGCGGTATGTTGATATTTTCCCCCTTGCGATGTGCTAATCTGATGCCGACTTTACAGTGCTATCAATCTGAAATACCATGCCCAGGACACCAAGCATAGTATTAAATGCGAGTACATTATAATAACAATGGGTAAACCAGTTCTTGCGATTACCCTGAAAGCTGAACGTTCAGCAGGAGTCAACGACTACCAATTTAAGGACATAAAAATGTCCCGGCCTTGGGACAGAACCCGTTGCGTTCCTTGATTGGGCAAACGTTAAACAATAAGAATAAAATTGAGATATTGTCAAGGAAGGCGATGGAAAACAAGAAGGTTGTTGAGACGTAGAGAGAAAAATCATACATCAAATTGTTTTGCACGGGGTGCATGATATTTATTTTGATAATTTTGTGTCCCCAAATAGAGAGTACAGAAGGAAGTCCGCAGTTCTCTTAGGGTCTTCTACCTGTACGGATGAACCAAAAATAAATACAGCAGGTAGAAAAGAAAGACGGAAATAAAGAGATGGAAAGAAGGATAAAAAGTGCAGTTCTGAAAGTTGTCTAATAACTAGTTTCTAACAACTTTGAATGTATGTATGAATACTGTACAGCAAGTATAATATTGTTTTAGAATGGAAGATAAGCATCACCAGTAGAGGAACGTAGAATAGTGTTTGGTTGAGGGACTGGCTGAATATGAGCATAAAACACTCCTAATCTATGTTCCTCTATCAAAGGGACATTGAAAAGACATTGACTGATCTGCTTGCTAACTGTATCTGCTTGTTGATTTTAGGCGTCTATAAAGCAAAGGTTTCTCTTCGTTTACATCTATGTATAACCTCTCTTATTCTACCGTAAAACCTGGCTGATCGACTGGTAGGGCTTTACATCCTTGCACCGGATATCTCCGCAACTAGGACAGAGACAGTATAACGTGATTTTGGTGAAAAGTCTTTAAAAATGCATCACAATCATATTGCATACACAGTTTTTTCTTTTTCTTATAAAGACAACATGTGCTGACATTTAATCATATGTGGAGCCGTCAACGGTTTGATGTGTCTGTTCTACATGTTTTTTTCTGCTTCAGATTAATAGAAGAATCTAGACCGTCTGATCGCCAAAAAAGAGCCACTTCGACAATGAGTATGAACCATTATCATTCATATGCTGAGGTGTGTCTAAAATATTTTAAATTCATGGTTAACGTTTGTCCTTTCCTATGTACCAGTGAAATATGTTTGAAATTTAAAAATATATATCTATTGACGTGCAATTTTAAGTCGTTGTTTTTATTTCGTGTTTAATTGAAGTAAAACGTCTTCTCGTAATAAATAGGACAACAAATAATTTTTTATTGTTTTTTTTCTTGTCATTAAAATATTTTCGTGTCAAACACATGGATGTCGTGCACATTTTCTACTAGGTAAGCAAGTGAACACTTTATTTTGCTGGTAATGGAAATGCTCTAAAGAACAATTAATTTGGAAGAAACAAAAACTTTACATTCGTCTTCGTTTGATTGGAATTTTCAGATCAACGCTTTCCTGAATTCCATCGTGGCTTCGAATAGTAATGCCCATCTCTACAAACTCGGTTCTTCTGGCCAGGGCAGATCTATCAATCTGATTAGGGTATGTAAGCCATGCCCTTACCTACAAAATCTGATCATATGTGCAGTTCAATCTATTATTCTGATTAGAGCAAGAAAGTCACGCCCACCTTTATGAACTCTGGTTATCTGTCCAAGGCAGATATGTTAATTTCATTATGGTAGGCAAGCTACGCCCACTTCTATAAAACTTTGGTGGATGTTTTTATTTATCCTCTTATTACAGTTATTATACATACAAATGTACTGTGCCATAATCAGCCAACCGTCAAATTGTATACAATATAATCATCATGGTACTTTTCCCGTTTTTGTATCTATAGTGTGTGTCATAATCAGTCAACTGTCAAATATAGTATAAAGTATTACTTATAACACTTTTTTCAATTATATATATGATATTTTGTGTCATAATCAGTCAACCGGCAGGTTGTATGTGATATTATAATCATGATACTTTTTCAGTTTCTTAATAGATATACCGTCATATTTAGTAAACCATCAAATTGTGTATAACATGATTATTATTGTGTTTTTTCAGTTTTCTACCGGTACGACATCCAGCGGGGCACACAAGAAGAGCATCTTTATGGACGGTGGAATCCACGCTCGTGAGTGGATAGCCCCTGCCGTTGTCCTTTATATGATCGATCAGGTGGGTGTTCAAAATTAAGTTGTTACGTCATACAATGACGTAACGATGACGTACCATATGTTTTAATTGATATACAATATCTGAAAAGTTTTTAGTGTATGGAATGAGTTTCGTGAAAGTAAAATATCTTCGAGTTGGAGATTCTGTTTATCTTATGATAAACCTATGATGTAAAATGGCACACTATAAAATAGAAAACAAAACGAGAAAACGTGATATTTTCGTCTTTTATCATGTGATCAAATGAGTCATTATATGTCACTTGTTTAAACTTGATGGGATGGCTGTCTTGCAATAAGTAAAAGGTGTATCACATGATGCGTATTGGTATTGTATACAAAACGGCCAAGCGCATACGTGTGACATCATAAAGGCTTATCAGACTCCTTCGAAATGACGTCATAATTGTTTTTTACAACCTTTTGTCCTGATAAATCTTAATTTAGATATTTTGATAGTGTTTATAATGGGGAAAGTACGTCATCAGTTCAAACCACGACACTCGAGACGACATACTATCCCCATTTTTAACGCACTTTAACAAATACAATATACATTGTATATATTTCTTGTTGGCAACATTGTTCATGTAACTCTACAGTGAACTGGCCAATCCGAAATAAGCTTTTCAAACGTTGGTCAATCTGTCATGTGCTATGTATGTTTGCTGACAAGGCGGACAGTTTCAATTATTTATGGCAATATCCTGTCTCAACGCTTTTATGATACAGGTTAAGATTTAGATCAGCCATATTCTTGTTATAGTGTATGACAAGCTGTGCGTATGATGCTAGTGATCATTTTCTGTGAAAAAATATGTTAATGTCATGTAAAATACATACGACACACGATTCGTGTATGTGGAATTCACACACTGTTCGGATATTGGTTTCAGTAACAAATCAAGTTAAGTGCAAGCATTTATTGGATGACGTCAGACGGTTGAAGGTGAAGCCTCGGATAGTGTATATTTTGTTGATAGCTAACTAACTGTTTTTTGTTTGATAACATCTGATAGTTGAGGATATAGCGATGGGTCGGTTTGAAATGTATTGCAGTTTATGAGGAACCAGTTGATTTATAGGTTTGGCAGTACCTTGTTGAGGGCATTGTAACTTGTATGGTTAACCTTACATTGTTATGCATTAAGAATAGAGTACTCACGTTTTGACAATCGCAATAACTGTTTTAAAAACGACTTATTAAAATAACCGGAAATCCAGAAGATGGCTTTAGAAGTGTGTGACAAATTTGTGTTTGAATAGTATTCATTTTGTTTTTGAGATTTGCTTTAAATAAGACTTGGCTTTATTGTGGTAGGAGGGGCTTAACAAGATGGAGGCGTGGCTGTATCGCAGATTGGAATAGCATATTTGTTCAGTCAGAACAAGCATTGCAAATGCATCCTGTTAGAACTAAAATATAAATTGCGTAATTGATGAAATAATGTTATCATGGTAAAATATTACATTGCGCGAAGTTTTATTGGCTAGCAAGGTAGTGTAAACTCCTTTTATTAATGTTCAAGCTCTAAAAGTATTCACAGAGGATGTGCATCTACAAGAGAATTCATAAAGCACAAACACTGGACATAATAAAAAAAAACATGCATCCAATCCATAAATTGGCGAAAAGGATAAAACAAATGCTGCTAGAATATACCAGCAATATAAGGAGGGGTAATTGCTTCATATAAATATTTAATTCGCGCCATGTTTGCGTTTTTGATAGGAAATTAATAAAAAAAAA